GGTCACTGTGAGTGTCTGTCAGAGACCGGGTGGAGGGTCCGGGGTCACTGTGAGTGTCTGTCAGAGACCGGGTGGAGGGTCCGGGGTCACTGTGAATGTCTGTCAGAGACCGGGTGGAGGGTCCGGGATCACAGTGAGTGTCTGTCAGAGACCAGGTGGAGGGTCCGGGGTCATTGTGAGTGTCTGTCAGAGACCGGGTGGAGGGTCCGGGATCACAGTGAGTGTCTGTCAGAGACCGGGTGGAGGGTCCGGGGAGTGGTGTCTCAGCACACTGTGAAGTGGTGAGCAGGCAGGCAATGGGAAGCTGTCAGAGTAACATGAGGCTGAGATTTGAGAAGAAGGAGAAACTCCAGTCTAGCTTGCTGATAGAGCCTTGGCCTTGGCTGTTGCAGGGGCAGGTGTGTGGGGTGTGAGGGAGCCGAGCTGCACTGCCTCTGGCTGGGGTGGCCTGTGCGTCAGAAGCGACGCTAGTCAGCCTGGAGCTAGCTCTGGGTGTGTGCAAGTCACAGCAGCCCAGTCGGCTGCCACGCCTCTACGACCCAGTCTGTCTGTCTCAGGCACGATGTCGGACAAAACGTTTCTGAACTCCTGATTATAGGACCTTCTGTCACAGCTTACATTTTTAGGCCAATCTGGTCTCTCGATCTTGATGGTAGACCCGGAGCGTGTAATAGGTTTTCTCCTTCACTAGCAGAACCCCGGGGCAGAGGGTCGGTCCCTGCCTGCTGACTGCTCCTCCCCTTCCCTTCCGACAGTGGAGAGGACAGGGCAGGGCCGCGTCTTCTTCCTATCCAGTAATCTGCACTGACTTCATTCGCTAACTTCTCTTATGTGGCGTAAATGGTGAGGTTGATGCTTTACTTCTTGGCTAAAAGTCTCAGATGTGCCTGAAGTGCGTCTGAGTGTATTTCTCCTCAGAAATGGAGTTCTTTGCCCTTTAAAGCGATAAACAGGTAGAAATAGCTTCTATATAAACCCAATAAAATAAAGTGTACTTTGCTGTGCCCATTTTTTAATTTAATAGCATGACCCCAGCAGTTTATCACTGTGCAGCGATATTGGCCATGGCCCACAAGCAGACGATCTTAACATACTATCAGACCAGTCTTGATATTAGGAGATTCTTTAGCCTGCCACACACTGATTTCTTGCTTTGTATTGGCTTATTTTTTTATTTGACCAACACGTTTACGGAGGGTCTGCTGTGTGCCAGGCACTGTGGGTACTATGTGTGCAGTCTGAAGGAGCTCCTGATGATGGGCTAGTGGGGAGACAGAAGAGCGCTTCACAGCCCAGAGTGATACCGGCCAAGTGCCCGGGAAAGGAAGCTCCTTGGTGGCTCTCGGGCCTGCCAGCCCTCAGGGAATGGGAGTGGATTGAGGGAAAAGAAGAGGAAGTAGAGCAGTGACTGGGCTGGGCGTGAGCGGATGGGCTAGTTAGCAGCAGTCTGGCTGGGAAGATTGGGTCAGGGCAGAAGGGCTGAGATGAAGGCCATGGTCAAAATCTGGGCTTGGCCTCTTGGGCAGTCTGAGATCCATGGATGTTCTGGTTCCCTAAGTGGCTTGGTCAGGTCTGCAAAGCCATTTGCAGGTAATTAAGGTAGTGGAGTGGAGGCAAAAGGGGAAAATGTTTCCATTCTTTATGCAGTAAAACATGGCCAAGTATCTTTGTAGTGTGTGGCAGGGTGGTGTGGCTTCTGTAGTGGGAAATCCAGGTCTTAGGAATGTTTGACATGAGTGTATCAGACTCAGTCACATGTTAAACCTGCTCCAAACACAAGTGTTCAGTCCAGCAGTCTGCATGTAACTAAGTACCAGCAGTGCACAGAGCGGTCCATGAAGGCTTTCAGGTCTACTGCTTGTAGTTTCTTTGGAGTTCTGTATTTGTGCATTGGGAAATGCATCATTTGAAAAATTGATGACTTAATTAGAGAAGCCCATTCAGTTGAGGCAGGAAAGACAGGGTCTGAGTGGGATGTAGGTAGGTGGGTGGTGGGGCTGAGGTTGCAAAGGGCCTGATTGCCTGGGATCCAGATACGCCATGAGTCACGTTACAGGAAGGTGAGCAGTGCGTCAGGCAGGGAGACAGCAAGAGGCGGGGCCTCTGGCAGCAGTGTTCTGGAGGGCTTCCAGCCCCCTCCCCCGTAGGCATCCACGTCTCCATTTGCAAAGTGAGGAGATTGGACTATATCATGGGGTGTGAGTCTGGGGCAGAAGCAGCCCCCGTCTAGGTGGGATGCCCGCTTTGGTGCCTACGACTGAGATGTGCACTTGTTCCCACAGGAGGAAGATGGCCTTCGGATGAGGAAGACCGCCCAGAGTAACAGCCCTGTGTCTGCACTCGCCGCGGCGGGGAGGGAGGAGGGCCTCAGCACCCGGCTCCTCGCGCTCGTGGTCTTGTTCTTCATCGTGGGCGTCATTATCGGGAAGATTGCCTTGTAGAGGCCACACATGAAGGATGGTCCGTGGATTGATGGGTCTGCCGCATCATGGGATTCAGATTTATCATAACCATGTGTACAAAGAAATTAATGTATGACAGCATCTCCAGGTCTTGCCTTTAATCACCCCTCCCTGTGCACACACACACCCAGATATAACGTAATATAACAAGCTTGTAGAAAGTTTCAGATGTACAGTAAATGATTCGGGGGAAGAACGGTCTTTAGTAACTGACGAGGGGGACGGGATTCCTGCCACAGTGGCATATTGTAAATGTCATTTGAAACCTTGTAGCCTTGGCACATGCCGCTGGGTCACTTCTCTTCAAACAAGACACTTCCTCGCCAGCCCAGTGCCGCCCTGGGGGAGCAGGAGCCCACGGTGGGGAGTGTGGTCACCTCCAGCAGTCGCCCACACGCTGCTTGCTCACTGCCGAGGCTTCTCACTGCGGCTCCGAGTCTGTCCAGGTCCTCAGTCTCCTGGGACTGACAAACAGAGTCGGAAGCCTGCAAGAATTGCACGGTGGCAGCAGCAGAGGGGCTCGTCACGAATGGGAGGTGTGCACTGAGCGGCTGACCCAGTGCTTTGGAAATGCAAGTCAGGGCTTTGTTCTCTTTGAGGGACCAAGCTCCACTGCTGTTGGTTCATGTCGTGAAGTCAAGCTGTTACCCAGAGATGTTGAACGCATAGTTAACTTATTTAATGTATCTCGTCTCATGTTTCCTTCATGTCACGAGAGTCTAATGAGCGCCATGGTCTCAGCATCACCCCTGCCGCCCCGCGCTGTGGGTGCGGCTGGCGCTGCTGCTGCGGGAGGTGAGACGCTTGCCCTCCGGCGCGTTCTGGGCGCTGGGCGTCCGTGGGAGGTGGGGTGCACGTGATGCCGGCACACAGCCGTCGGCGGGCGCTCCCCTTGTAGCGGAGAGCGCCGTCCCGGGAGGGAGGCTCTGCGCAGCAGCGGTCAGCGCTCCCCACCGTTCAGTGGAGCTGAGGAGCGGGGGCTCTCAGGAGATGGATCCGTGCTGGTTCTGCCACCCCGCCTGCCACTCTTCAGCACACTTGCCCCAGGCCTGGCTCTGGCCGGCCTCACTCTGGCCCCTGCCTGGAATCGGGAAGAGGGAGTCAGGCTGCAGTGCTTAGGGGAGAGGGGAAGCAGCCTGGTGGCCCGCACGCGTGCGGGGGTGGCGGGGCAGGGGAACGGCTCTTCAGCCCATGCATCCGTCGGGTCCCAGTTGAGAATCTGACTGCGAGTTACTTTTATGCCACAAAAGGCCGATCCGGTTCTGTTTGACTATGTAGCATCTTAAAAAGAAAAAGAATATTAAAATAAAGCCCCCAAATCAAGAATGCTTTTGTCATTTTGTCACATGCGCTGTGTGGGGGGTAATACTATCATGGTTTTATCATCGTTGCTTTGCCATTGGAAAGTTCATCGGTTATGATTCAGCTGTACATGCACACGTGTGTTGTTCTGGTTGGCTTCAGCTTAGTATGAAAATACCGCTGCACATCTGCACACCATCCCCTGGCCCTTCCATCGCCTGCCCCTCAAGGAAAGGAAACGTCTCCTGGGTCGAGGAGCCCTGCAGAAGAGACGAGTGAAAGGGCACAGAGTGTGGCTCCAGCACGGGTTGGGTTTTAAAAGACAAAGGCCACCAGGAGGAAGATAGTTCTCGGGAGACCGCTATCAGGAGTCAGCTTCTTCAGCCCCTGGCTGGGCTGCGTGGGCTGGGGCACAGTTCTGCTGGTCTGCACCGGCTGGGTGGAAGTCTGTTGCTGGTCTAGTCAGTAACTTCCTGTCTTCATGAGCACTGGGGACTGGCAGTAAAGGTCCAAGACACCACTTCGTTCTAAACACTGAACTGCTTAAATCGCATTGTGCAGACAGATGGGGAAGGCCAGGATCTTCTCCAGGTGGGCCCAGGTACTTGGGAAAGGGAGGGAAAGACTGAGCTGGGAGGCACATACCTTCTGCATTAACTCTCTGGAAATGGACCCACACCGTCCCATGTGTCTGCTTTTCTGCAGCTTCTAGAACCTCACAGCCTGGGAAGAGAATGGCTAGAAGGGCCTCCACACATTATTTAGGGGTGTAGTGTAACCCCGTTACACTAGAGCAGGGTCAGCCAGCTTTTTCTTAACAGGCCAGATAGCAACTACTTTAAAGGCTGTTGTGGGCCACAGCTTACCTCAAACCACCTTTCAGACTGGATGACAAGCATCTATGCTCTGAGAGTACAGCCAGCCACGGGTGTGGCCAGGTTCCGGTAAGATCTCATCCACAAAAATGATGAGGCCCTTCAAGCCGTCATTTGCTGACATGGCACTAGTGATGATGTTCGTCAAGAGTTGGCCTGGGGACCCTGCTTGGTTCTGGGTCTTTGGAGGTTTCGTGCCCACGGAGAACAGGTGAGCCTTGCGGAGGTGGTAGGCATTTTGGTTGCCACTAGTCTCCGATTTTAAAACCCACAGTTGTCCCTTCTCAGTAGTCATCCTCTGAGGACTTGCGTCTGCAGGTTAGGACTTGAGGGGCCTGTGTTGGCTCGTGGGACTTCTACACTGGAAGGAAGGTCACAGGAGCCTGGGTGCTCGGAGGAGGACAGGGCTGGAAAGGCTGGTTGTCCTTGGAGTAGTCCCACTCAGTAAAGGGAGTGCCGGGTGACGAGTGGGAGCAGGCATTGCTGACATTCGTGGGCTGTGGGAAGAGCCCCCACCGCATTTGGGGTGCCTTTGGCAAGAGAGAAAAATGAGAGTAAGGTAAAAAGGTGGACATGTGCGCTCACCAGTGACTGGGACTGAGCAGACCTGGACTGTGAGGCCGAAGCTGTGAGTGTGTGTGTGTGAGTGTGTGTGAGTGTGAGTGTGTGTGTGAGTGGGTGTGTGTGACCGTGGGTGAGTGTGTGTGAGTGGGTGCATGTGTGTGTGTGAGTGGGTGTGTGAGAGAGTGTAAGAGTGTGTGAGTGTGTGTGTGTGTGTGAGTGGATGTGAGTGTGTGAGAATGGGTGTAAGAGTGTGTATGTGTGAGAGTGGGTGTGTGTGAGAGTGGGTGTGAGAGTGTGTGTGCGGGTGCATTGGACTGCTTCCTGCCTCTTACTCCTGTGTGTCTGCGTATGTGTGCAGGTGTGCATGAGTATGTATGTGTGCGTGTGAGGGGGTGCAGTCGGGCTGCCCCCTGCGTCCTGTCCTCTCTTGGCTCCTGTGTGTGTGGGGTGAGGGAGGCTGCCCCCTGCGTCCTGTCCTCTCCTGGCTCCTGATTTCTGAACGCCTCCCCGAGAGGAGCTCTGGCTTTAGAAGTGGCCACAGAGCTGATAAATGCAGATGAGTGCAAGCAGAAACAGAATCGCGGACATTTTATTGATTGAATTTTTAAGTTGATAATTTCAGCGCCCTTGGCACAGTACGGAACGTCTTAGTAAACAAGACAGCGGGCCCTTCTGGTCTCGGTCTGAGGACCCAGCTTTCCTCTTGCCCTACTTTGCATGTTTTCCCTCTGCATCCCCTAAACCGCCGGCACCAGCAGTAATACATACTGATCAAATCAAAATTGATTTTTACCAGTAGATAGTTTATGCCTAGAGAGGCGGCTTATATGTACATAACACAGAAGGGGGAAAATGAAGAACTTTCAGTGATCGTGCAGACCTAAACGCTCGCCAGCCAATCCCAGGCACGGAAGTGCTGTCGAGCCCTATCGCGGCGGGCTCGCAGGCGGCGCTCAGTCAGATGCACTGAAGGCAGCGGTGGCTCAGAGCTCGGCAGCCTTTCAGATTAGCTTGAGAACCAGCCGTCTGCGCGTCTGTGTCTAGCGTCTGTGCCACGTGTAAATAGCTCGGCATTTTCTAAGTGGTGCCTGTTTTGCGCACACACCACTCTCTATTTGCAAACTCATAGTCAACGCCAAAGCACAGTGCCATTTGTCATTTTCACTTCTCTAACAAACTGGCCCATTTACAAGTTTCTGGATATGGTTTGTGCAATTCTAAAGAAAAAACTAAGCAAGATGGGGCTTGGGCTTCAGTTACCTTGGACACTTGACTGATGTTCAACCTAGAGACCTAGGGTGGAGAGGCCAGCACCGCCCCCTGCTGGAGAGGGCAGTTCCTCGAAGGGCATGAGGGCGGGGCTTGGGGCCAGGACTTGCCTCCCGCCTGGTCCTTCCCCTTGAGCCTGTCTGGTGGGGGAAGAGGAGGAGGAGCAAGTAAAACGCTACCACTAATGGAAAGGAGGAGACCTATCCCAGTTAAACTTTGGGCCACGTTTGCTGGTGCTGAAAGGGAATGCTTTTGGAGGCCAGCAGAAACGGAATTGCGTTTAGAAAGTCGCTCGCAAAGAGGAGCTGCATGACCCCGGTTGCTGGCACGTCCTGTCTGATGGGGGCCTCCGTCTTGAGTGAGGCCCAGAGCTCGCGGAGCACTCAGGCCCCTGAGGCTGGGACCCCCCAGGGTTTCCAGGGCCTGATTGGATTTGGGGAAGACTTTTAAGTTATTTTTGGCCCTCCTCAGAGTTGCTTGGACAGGAACCTTTCACACAAAGTGGCCAAGCCGCCTCTCTCGCCCCAGCTGAGCGTCACCACAAATGCCCGAGGGCAGGAGGGCTGTGTTTGGCACGTGAGGAAAGGGAGGCTTGGAAGGTTAACTGGGCCACTTTCTGGAACCCTCCTTTGGAACGAAATCAGTGTTCGAGGGGGCGTGCTGCGAAAGCCTAGCCCAGGCACTGGCGCTGTTGGCACTCAGAGGTCCCCCAGAGGGCTGGGGGTGGGGGGCGGGCAGACGGAGCTTGTGATGGCGGCCCCTGCTGTGTGTGTGCCTAGGTCCCTCCCTCAATTCCTTTGAAGACGGCAGACAGACTCATCACTCTGGGAAACGACACGCGCTTGCGCCGGGAGTGGGGCGGTGTGTGCGCGCGCTCCCTTCGCGCGCGCCTGCAGGTCTCTGCTCGGTGGGGGGTGTGTGTGTGTGTGTGTGTGTGTGTATGGGGCTACTTTATGTGGATGCTTCCAT